ATTTCTATTTTGTCTAAAAATATTGAAAGTAAAGAAACTGCAAGATCGTCTTCTAAAGTTGTTGAACGTTGTGTTGATAGTATTTCATGTGCTGGTAGAGACGGTGATGGAAATATAGATTTTAGTTATTGTAACAAGGATTTAGACTGTAATAGTTCATCTCATAGTTCAGTGTCAGTTTGTAGTTTAGGATCCGGAAAGGTGCCCTCTTCCCAGAAGCTAAACTTGTCAGTTCCTTCTATGAAGGACGAAGGTTCTGGTGGTAGTTCAACTATGATCCAAATTTAATCTTCACATTCTGGAAGCAGCAAGAGTGTCGTTGGAGGCAGATCCGAGATTTCTCCCAAAATCTATCCCAAGTTAGAAGAAGATACTGAGGGCAGTAGCGAGAACCCACTGGATAAAAATGGTGAGTTTTATGTTATTAATGCTATTGATCAGTTATTGTATACGAGAAATACTTCGGAAAGTTTCTGAAGGTGATTGGCTCTGTGAAGAATGCAAGCTGGTTGAGGAAACTGAAAACAAAAAGCAAGGTTATTTTTCAAACAGAGAATAAAAATGACAACCAGACAAGATCATGTGCTGACATCCTTTTGCGATTGAATTTTCAAGGTTTGGATGCTGAGGGGAAAATGGAAAATAAACTTATCTCAAGTACACCTATCTTAAGTAAGAGACATATTGGAAATCTAGAGGGTGCTTCAGCTCCAAAAAGGCAGGTTGTTAATGGATCACCAAGATCATTGAGCCCCAACGGAGTATCTTCTTTGTCTCGAGAGAGTTCATTTAAGAACTTAGACAAGGGGAAAGTGAGGCCATCACCACAAATTTCTCTTGGCAACCATTCTGGTAATGATATGCAGGAAGTTGTACGCTCTCTGACTTCTGGTCCACAGCTGTAAACACCAAAGGGTAAGTAAATTAATTTTGTTATATTATCTAAAATTTTCCCTATGTTAATTTTAACATTGGCATACTGTTCTCATTGTTATAGGGAGCTTATTGAAATGCAGTTCATTTAATACCTTAAATTCCAATTCTAAGGTGAAACTTGTGATGAGGTTGTTGTTCATAAACGAGAAAGTGCTAGAGAACATGCACCACTTTATAGCGAGGAACCTGCTAGAATGATGGGCAAAGATTATGGTTTTTATTGAGGTCATATTGTGCTAACAACCCTTTTAAATCCCTCGTATGCTGAAATGCCAGATCTATTAGTGAATACAGAATTGGTAGTTATAACTCTGGGCCTGAGAGAGGTTTAGAAGTGAGGTTTCATTTTAACCAAGGTTTAGGATGACTTAGTCCTGAAAAAATAGTTTCCTTGCTATATTTGTTTTGATTTAGTCATCTCTAATATTGCTTTTTAATATCACTTATTAATAACTGTATACTGGAATAGTTGCTTATATTACCTGCTTCTTGAATGCGTATTGTCAATAATTTTCAAAGTACTACAAGTGTTCCACCTGCCTCAAACTCAAGACTTTCACCGCTACCTCTGGAACCTACCGGTTTCAGTTGTGACCATGGGGAAACAATTGATATTCCTCTTGATACAGCTTCAGGAGGATCACATAATCAGGTTGGTAAAGAAATGTCTCTAAATTTCATTTACATTATTTGGTTAAGCCTTGAATCTCACTTTCCTGGTTTACTGTTTAAATGTAGGATTTAAACAAGAAAGTCCAGGCTAAGGAAGCAGAACTGAAAAGGTGGGAACAGGCATGTTGTATAATAGATTTTACAACATTGAATTCATTTGTGATCTACTGAATCATAGATTTACTTTTTCTCTCTCTCATTTTTCTTCCAAAGATGTATCATCGACCTATTTAGAATTTGATGTAATGAAAGCAAAAATTTATCTCAATAATCCAGTATCCTAGTATCATAAAATACTGTTAGGATACTTTATCAGGTTGTTGGTGGAATATCATGTGTTTCTTGATCTATTTTAGTGTACTAAGTCATTCGGATGGTTTTAAGCCGCAAGTTCACATTTTTGCACATTTATTTCTCAAATAAATAGCATGAAAGATCATAGCATCCCTACAATTTCATTGGTCATCAGCTTACTCCTTGTAGGAAGTGAGGCAGAAAGAAGAGGCAGTGACAAGAGGTACCTTTCATTTTCCTTTATTTAACTAGTCTCAGTGATCACATTTCATTTTGTTCTCAGCTTCAGTATTTGGTCTAGATTACTCTATACATTTTTGCAAAATTTTTGACCTTATTTTATTTCTTTTTATGGTCAAAACTTCATTTCTATCATGAACTACAATTTCACTTCTCTGCTTTGCAGCTGGAATTGTTGTGGAAGAGAAAAATTGGCCACCATTTTTTCTAATCATTCATCATGATATTGCCAGTGAAATTCCAATTCATCTACAAAGATTGCAATATGTTGCATTTTTGACATTTTTTAGGCATGTAAGTTTTTCCTATATTTTCCTTTTTAGGATTCTATGCATGGTACATCTAGGTATCATGCCTTCATTTGTACCGTGCTAAATTGCATTGGGTAATTTTTTGTACCATGCTTTTATTTTGTTAACTCTTTAGTTGAAAATGGCTTTGGTGTAAAGCCATGGACTGGAGACAATTCAGTGATTGATGGTGATTCTATGCATGATTGGTTCTATGCCTTCTGTGGAACATCATAGCCGTTACTACAACATGGATCAAAGGAGAAGGTTAATTTAGTTATATTCTTCCATGTCTTGTTTTCCTTATTATTGTTTAGGTGTTAAGATCTGGTTTTTGTCTATCATCTATTTTGTAGCAGGAGTACCAAGAGCCTATGTATTCCGGTATCGCCTACAGTTATCGAAACATTATATGCTTCTAAACCTTATAGACAACTATTGTTAAAGATGGTAGCTAAATTTAGGTGCACTAACGACTTCTAAACTTTTGCAGACAACATCTGAAACAAAGTTGAAGGTTGAACTAGTCTTTGGTTGATCAAACTTTTGTCCTCCCAAATTGCACAAGGCAGAGTTTGCAGTTCTGGTATGACTGGTTTTTCCTTTCACTATTGGTGTTTTCCCTTTAGTCCAAATCATCTAGTTCATCAGTTGTGTTGATATTTGATTCTCAAGGATATTGTGTGGTCCCTTTGTTTCTAGCACAAGAAGTGGGAAAATCATTAGGCATTGACCTGGGCATAACTGAGACACATAACCTTAGTTTCTGTTGTACTTTAGTAAATGTTTTGTGCAGCAATTACATTTTTGCCGATTGCACTGCTTGCTCATATGTACTACGTATATCATAACCCCCCGCGCTTTCTTTAGTTTTTTTTTCTGTTGGTATGCTATAGTCTGAACTATAGTTGTAGGTTAACAATTAGCATTAGAGACCTCAACAACCCTCCTCTCCTCTCCCCCTGGATATTCTTGATGATTCTATGTAAGAGTAGTAGTTAAAAACATTATGTTGTTTTATTTGATATGAGGTAGCTTTTCAGTTTTCTCTATATATCAGTATGGCATTTCTTTTTTGTGCTTTGTTTGCACTAATCTTGCCACGCCATCTTCATGGTAAGTTGGGATTGTAGATGTTTGATATAGGACCGATGTTAATATTTCATATGGTGATGTGTTCTGCAAATTGCTTACATGATATGGAGCTTATTATGTACTGGTTGTGCAAAATTTTGACATCTTTGTTTTATTTTGCTTACCATTTGTTGATATTGTTTTTGCATATTCTAAGCATCCTCATTTTTTTTGTTGTCAATACAGGTTTGACAACACTGCCTATTTGCACATATCTGTGACTTTTATCCAGATGCTCAAAGCTCTAAGTATGTGGAAACAAAGTGCATTATTATATATATATATATAATGGTTATATGTTCTTTCTCAATGTCGTATTTTCTTTGTTTTATTTGACTAATCATTTATTGTAAACTATTTGTAGTGTGAATATATTGTATACAAATGTATTGCTTATATATAATATGATATATATATTTAGTATTACGAGGCATTAAATGTGATTTAGTTTGATTATTTGTCAATCTACAATATATATAAATATATATATATAATTCACGAAATACAATCACGACACACGAATGTGTGTCATTTTCATTTATGACGGGGGCTTCAATGACACGCAATGTAAGTCATAAATGCGTGTCATAAATTTATGACACACAAATGTGTGTCATCTTCATTTATGACGGGGGCCTCAATGACGCGCAATGTAAGTCATAAATGCGCGTCATAAATTTATGACGCACAGTTGCGCGTCATCTTAAATTTATGTCGGTGGCTTCAACGACAGGAAAATGTGTGTCATCTGCACCCATAGATGACGCGCAATGCACGTCATTAAAGGGGTTTTTTCTACTAGTGACTATACATAATTACAATGAAATTTATATAAAAATTTAAAAACTGAACTCAACTTGAATTTAACAAATTCAATTTGATTCTAAAAATATATCAAATTAAATTTAATGGTAAACTATACCATTGACCACTCAATTATGTAGCTTTCTACTTTTATCACAAATCTTTTAATTTTGTCAATCAAACCTCTTAACTATTTACTTGTTGTCAAACAAGCCACTTACTGTTAACAATTGACTGAAATGTTGACATGACGGTTAACGAAATTGAAACAATTATACATTTAGTCCTCAATCTTTATACACTCAATTTATTCTACATTTAATAAATTTATTAAATTAAATTAAAATTAGGATCAAATTAATAAAATTTATAAAGATTGACAACTAAATGTAGAATTATGTCAATTTCGTTAACTGTCACGTCAATATTTCTATCAACTGTTAATGGTAAGTGACTTGATTGACAATAATTGAATAATTAAATGGTCTGATTGATAAAATTAAAAGATTGATGATAAAAATAAAATGACTACATATTTAACTGGTCAATATCATAGTTTACTCTAAATTTAAATTATAAAATAAGCCTATCAACCTAAATAAATTAATATTCTCCGACTCAATACTCACTCTTCTTCATACATTTATTTTTCTATCTCAACCCTAAGCTCAAAAACAAAAGGAAAACCATGTGATAGTGGATGGCTTTGACTCTTGCGTCAAGTCATGGCTGAAGACTTGGGCAATTGACGGCACAAATAATGCCCGTAAACCATATCCTTGCATTCTGGAAAAAAGAGAACAGAGGGAAAAGTAAATGGAGGCATGTTGTTTGATATGTTTGAAACGCAGTTTCACGATTTGTTTTGCTGCCGTCTCCTTTCTTGTCGTGCTAGTTTCTTCTTCTTCTGTTCGTTCTAATTCTCTTCCCCTCGGAATCCACCCGTTAGGTATTCCAATTTCCAAACCCCTTTTCATCATTTTTGTTACTATTAATATTACTGATTTAATCGAATTTGTTGATAAATGAATAGATGCCAAGAATTTTGCTGCGGAGGTTATCAAGTGTAAGGATGGGTCCAAATGGTTTACCAGAGATCGTCTCAACGACAACTTCTGTGATTGCCTTGACGGCACCGACGAGCCCGGTATTCTCTTCTCCTGCCAAATCCATTCCTTTTACTGTTTTAATTTGCACAAATGTATTATTGTCTTTGCACTATAATTGGTATTTTTATGATTTTTTAATCTGTAGCAGGGAACTAGGGGCCTTAAATGGGTCGAGTTAAGTTTGAGTATTGTTGAGTTCGACTTAAAAAGTGTAAAATTGAGCTCGATTCGACTAAAAAAATTCATGAGCTTAAAATTGTTGAATTAAACATGAACTCGAAATAAAAGATTGAAGCTCGACTCAATTCAAAAGCTCGTGAGCTTTAAATTTTCAGCTCGACTCAAAATAAAAAATTGAAGCTCGACTCGAGTTCAAAAAAACTTAAACTCGAAATATTCTCAGACTTAGCTTGATTGAAGCTCAAACTCGAGCTCGAACCTGAACTTTAAGTACATGAAATTCCTATATTGTAATTTTTAAAAAAAGAACAATATATAATCTTTAATATTATTAAAAATTTATTTAAAAATCTAAAAAATTAATAATTATATTTTTGAGTTGCTCACGAGCTTTTCGAGCCGGGTATTAAGTAGCACGATTTGACTCCTTAATAATTTGAGTCGAGCTTGAGTCGAGTCCATTCGTATTGAGCGTGGAGCGGACTTTGATTGAGTCAATCTCTAGTAGCTCACAATTTATCTCGTCTCAAACACAACCCTACTGGGAACACAACCACAATATAGAATTCTACTTGTCATTATAGGGGATGAACTTTAAAATTTTAGAGAGCAAAAACAAATTATCAATAGAAATTATAAAGAAGATACTATATAAATTATATGAGAATTTGAAATTTTCGAGGGGAGTTGTTTGCCTTGCCAGTCGCTCGGTCCATCTTGCCTGTCAAAGTGTCAATGTCATTTGCTTGCATTGAATTAATATCTTGATTATGTGCTGCCAAGTACATTGTTGATTAATTCTTTCAAGATTAGGAATGCCTTTTTCCATTTTTGCTATTTTTTTTTCTGACTTGTAGAGTCTCTTGGCTGCCTTATTGGTTTGTGCAGGGACTTCAGCTTGCGCAGCAGGCAAATTTTATTGTAGGAATGCAGGAAGTATACCTCGATTCATTTTTTCTTCTCGAGTTAATGATCGCTTTTGTGGTGAGTTTTATTCCAACTTGTTTTTGTTAACCTTTGTTTATGATCTTTGTTTATGTAAACATGGATTGATTATTCAAGCTCTTTATTCCTTTCCAAACTCTTGATCTTCTAATGAGGTGGTTTTGCATCTTTAGATTTTAAGTGTTGTACTGAATTCCTTGATCGTGAGCCTAATGTATATCAACCTTGGCAAGGTTTTATGTTATTATTATTATTATTTTTTTGTTAAATATATATCATCTTTCAGATTGCTGTGATGGAAGCGATGAACATGATGGGGGCATCATGTGTCCCAATACATGCATTATGGGTGGTAATGTGGAGTACAAAACTGAAAATTATATTTCTACAACTACTCATACGGGTGCTACTAAAACGAAGGAAATGAAGAGTGGGATCAATTTAGAAGATTTGATCCAGACATTTGCAGGTATTGAATATGATTTGGTCATGATGTGTTCCAATTTCATGCATCAACTCTTCAATCCCACCCCTATGCATACTTGGTGGGGTTAACGATCCCTACTTCCTCACAACCATTACCCCTTTGGTACTGAAACTATAACAAAAATAGTCAAGTTGGTACTTGAAGTTTTAATTGCTTGCAATGAACTGTTTAACTTTAATTTTGTTAAACAAATGGAAAAGGGGATTCAAAGGAAAGGTACTGAGAGATGAGTGGGGAGAATCTGCTGGTTTTGGTAGATTGGTATTGATTTGTCTCTATTCTAGTAGATTGATGATGAATAAACAACCAAGCATATATACATATGCCTAAAATAGTGGAAAACAACCAAGAAGATGACTGCAGTGTGTATCATTCTTATGACTAATGAAGTTAGTGAGATTTATCATTTGCTTAATGTAATACCAAATGTGCGATCAATGCAGTATATGACACACATTAAGAATGGGTTATTATGACAGTGAATTCCTCCTTTCCCTACATGCATCTTAGGGTGGACAATTCTTATCTAGACCGTATTTTGATGGTGAGAATTAAGAAGAGTCCAACCAGAAAATTTTCAAGGTTTAGACACTTTCATCATGTTATTATGTTTTTGTTGGATTCGTAAATGTCATTCATGGTGTATGAATTGCTTTCCTCATTTGAAATGACAAAAAATGTGGGTTGGTGAATGTAGGTTTGAAGATTATAACAGTGGCGGAAGTGGCTGTTGGTGGGTTTCTGGTTGTTAAATGGATATCTTATAAGCGTGTCAAGTCTAGGAGAAGACATCACAGATGAAGGAATCTGCCATTAGCTTTGGGGTATATCCTTGTCTTATACTTCCACTTGTTTCATGGGTAAACCACATGGGTAGCCAAAATGGAATAAATATGATAGTTAAGGTACTAAACATGTAGTTTACTTTTTTTTTTCATACGGTAGAAGGCATGCATGTTGAGGAAGATGTCTGTTTCTGGCGTTGGTGCATTAAATTGCATTAACTTTTGCTAGTTGAGAACCTTACAACAGAGATTGCTATTAGTGCCCCAATTGATTTTTGGAAACTGTTTTTAGAAAATATAATTCATTTTATGTAAATTATTTTCTAGAAAAGCAATTATAGTGTATCAAACGCTTAAATTTACTACAAACTGTCAAATATTACTCATGATGTAACACTAAATGCTAGTTTTTTGACAAATTGAAAAACTTATCACTCAATAGTTATCCTTTTGTACAGTATGAGAGAATTGCAGTCAGGCAATCTCCATTGCAAGAAATGGATTATTTCCCCTTTCTAAGCTATGGTAATATCATTTGTTTTCCTTGAAAAAATGAATTAAAATGGCATTTCAAAGTTCCGGCAGATATGTAGTGAAGTTTAGAAAGAAAAAAAAGTGGTTGGACCCCAGGTGAATAGTTAGTCACTATCCATGAGATCAGCAACTGTAATTTTCCCACAATTGCTGCTGTCTAGTGCATCAAATTGGTTGCAGATCTGCAAAATGTCTTTCTCTGAAATTTTCCCCATCTCCTTGAGCTTGTATATTACAAATTCAGATTTACTGCCACAAATACACATCTATAATTCTTTGAGAGGGACTAAAAAGGTCATTTGCTCAATCACTAAATATAGCAAGTTAAAAGGCCTGGATATACTGCTACTGATGATTCATATTTGATATATGGATATAATTAATAATATTATTTTAAAAAATATTATTTAATATACCATTAATAGAAATAATAGTTTTATAAAATCATTGTCTTTTCAAAGACAAGTGTATCAAATAATAATCTTATTTTAAATATACCATAAATTTAAAAAAAGTAAAGGTAACGGGTCTCATGATTATAAGGTGTTTTGTCAAGTCTTTTGACTATTGAAAGTTATAAAATGGTCCTTTGACTATAGGACGTTGTTTTGTGAAATTCCTTGACTATTAAAATTTACAAAATGATCACTCGACTATTCATATGTATATGTTCTAAACTTGTCATTTTCCATTAAAAAATTGGCAGCTGTTTGAGCTGAACGTTAACACGATGACTGAGATATGATAGTCATTTGAGATTATGAAATCAGATTTATCATATCTTAGTCAATAAGTTAACGTCCAACTTAGACGGTCGTCAAATTTTTAACATAAAACGATGAGTTTGGAATATATAAATAGTAATGTGACAATTTTGTAACTTTTAATAGTCAGAGACTCAACAAAGTAATACTTTATAGTTGAGGATCATTTTATAACTTTTAATAGTCAAGGGACTCAACAAAGGAGTATCTTATAGTCGGGGAACCATTTGTGTACTTTACCCAAAAATTAATTATATCCTATGTTATTGGTAATCTCACTCAAGTCTAAGTAACATGTACGAAAATTTGCTAAACAAAATACCTGATGGATCCATCGTTGTCGAGGTCCGCAGCAACCAAATCTCCGAGCGTCATCTTCTTCTGAAGAACCCATTTCAAAATTATCCGATTTCGCTTCTCAATCCTCAGCTCCGTCAAGTAAAGACATGCCCTCGCAACAGCCAACGTACTCACCAGCAACCATACAACAGCGAAACACCTGCCCGTCAACGTCTCGAAGGCGCAATCACCGTAACCCACTGTCGTCACCGACGTAACAGCCAGATATAAACTATTAACCCAATCCAAGTTTTCCATAAAATGGGCGGCCACCGTGCCGATGGCAATGCACCCAATCACCACTCCCAACGCCACGCTCACTTTCATCCGTATCCTCATTCTTCCTTTGGCTTTATCGATCATGTAGGTTTGAACCATCGTGTTGAATCGATTCTCATCCACCGTGCTCAAAAGAACCGATTCCTGTCGATCGCAGATGTAAGTAACCAATCCGTTGAGCAATATATCGATGAACCCGAAGCCGATTAGTATAAAGAAACAGGTGAAAAGCTTGGTGAAAGTTGTGTCGGGGACGATATCTCCATACCCGATCGTGCATAGTGTGACCACAATGAAGTACAAGGCATCTACGGGCTTGAAGGTTTCGGTGTCTTTGAAACCCTCGCTGGTTAAAAACATTAGAATGCCGGTTAGTATGTATATGATGAGCCATATGAAGGCCTGGCGGACGATGAAGGGAGCCGACGATTTTGAGGCAGGTGTTCCGTCTTCCGGGGAGCCTCCGAAAGCTTCCCGGACGTCGGTGAAAAGCGAAGGAGCCGAATGCGAGCGACGGGGGAGTCTCGGCTTCTTGTTTTTCAAATTGGCGACTAGGTTTACGTAGGATGAAGAGGAGGGTGGTGGGATTATAGGGATGATGGCGTCGGTGGTGATGAGATGGGTGGATCGGGGTAGTAATGGTTGATCCATTGGGGTTGAGTTCGTGTGACATTAAGAGAGAATGGAGGTTTAGGGTTTGAGATGCAGCAGTGTTAATGGTGACTGATTTGAATGAAAATGAGGAGTCAAAGTGGAGAGAACAGTTTGGATTAGTTGGTGGTTCATCTAACAGTCATATGGGCGCGAAACCAACCACTCAAAGCCTCAAATTTCACATCAAATATTCCCATTACTTGCCTCCACTGGACTGCTCGCTGATGTAGCAGTGTAACGATCCATCACAATATTTTAGTTTTTATGATCACTACGATACAACATAACATATATTATAATTATTTTTATAAAATAAATCATACCGTAATGTTTATATCATCTAAAATTATGATCACAATCATAATTTAATATTATGTGTTGATGACTTTTACCATTAATAAATTTACCATTAATAAAGAAATATACATGGATGGATCTTAGAGGATGGACCACATCATCGTCTCAATAAATTTTAATTTTTTTTTACAACTTTAGTATCATTTTGTACTTTTTATTGATAATTTATTTTATTTCTTAAAATTTTACACATTTTTCTCGTAATATAAATTTTTATGTTTTGTTGTGGACAAAAAGGAGGTGTCATATAAGATTTGGAAATTTTAATCTTTTTCATAATTTAAGTATTTTTCTTTTACTTTTAAGATTAACTACATAACTGATTACTTTCGTTTATATTTTGTTCATTTCTTCTCATTGATTTTAAAAAATATAATTTTTGGTCACATTCACTTTAATTTAACTAAGATGTGGTTATTGAGGGTTGACTAGCGTTAGATTAAATTGATTGCTGACGTGGATAGTGAATAAATAAAATTACAAAGGATAAACTATACAAATTGTTACTAATTTTTGAATAATTTTTTTGGTTGAAGTTTTAAAAGTAACAAATTAATCATTGAAATATCATAACCTTTCTAATTCCAATTTTCCCCCAAACATCACACTGCCTCCATGTTTTATACGGTCAATCCTACCTCTTGATGATGGGATTTGCATCTCTTGAAGTTCCTTTTTTGTTTGTTCACAGTGCCTCTGTAAACAAACATGAAGATACACCACATCTCTTGTACTCTGTTCTCACCCATTGATTAACATTTCTTTGTTTATAGAGGAATCTGAAAAGCATTTGATCATTGCGGTTGCTGACAAATCCGGAGCGAAATCGGGTCATCGGGTCGAAATGTGGAGAACACTACGGAAGGTAAGTTCGAAGAAGAAAAACCTGTTGAAAAGTCAATGCATTAGAAACATTTAGGTGGCTTTGCACATGCATTTTCGGTGGCATTGAAATTATACAACTTGAAAATATTTTTTTTGTAATGGTATAATCATTTTTAGTCATTGTAATTTAGGGTATTTATAAATTAGTCCTTAAGCTTCAACTATAAATACCCTAGCTCATTTAGCTTCAAAACCATCCCAAAGCATTCTAGCTTTCTTCCAATACTAGAGAGAATTTAGAGATTTTCTTGAGAGTTGTTTTCTCCTTTTTTTATCAAGAGAGAATTATCATTGTTTTCTCCTTGGTAGATCGAGAGAAGTTATAATTCCTATTTTCTCATAGTAAAATTCTTCTACCGTCGCCCGTGGTTTTTACCCTATATTATTTAGGGGTTTTCCACGTAAATTTTGTGTCTCTTTTATCTTCATTTTTATTTTCTCAAATTATCAGTTGTGATTTTTCTCTATCCGATAGCTGTCTTCCGCAATAATTGGTATCAGAGCCAGATTTGAGTGTGTAATATATGCTTATTGTCTTTGTGGTTGCCATTAAAAGGTGGATCCTGCAACATAAGAAAGTAAGAAGATATTACTCATTCTTTGTAGGTTCAAGAGAACTATTCACAATAGTGAAATAGTGTGAGCTATCTAGAAGCTATGACAACAAAATTTGATATTGAAAAGTTCAATGGGAGAAATTTTTCATTGTGAAAATTGAAGATGAAGGCCATCCTGAGGAAAGACGGTTGTCTAGCAGCTATCAGCGAAAGGCTGATAGATTTCACAAACGACAACAAATGGATCGAAATGGACGGGAATGCTATGACAAACTTTCATTTAGCATTAGCAGATGAAGTATTGTCAAGCATCGAAGAGAAGAAGGCAAATAGTAATGTCATCAGTCTAGTCTTCGATGACGTTGCAGCTGCTGTTCTACAAGAAGAAAATCGACGCAAGAACAAGGAAGACAAACAAGTAAATCTGCAACAAGCAGAAGCGTTGACAATGATGAGAGGGAGGTCAACAAAACGTGGCCAAAGCATCAGTCACAAACAAGGTAGATCGAAGTCGAGGAGCAAGAAGAATTTAAAGTGCTACAACTGTGGAAAGAAGGGTCACTTGAAGAAGGATTGTTGGAGTCTAAATAAAAACTCCAATCCACAAGGTAATACCGCAAACACTTCAGATGATGGAGATGCTCTATGCTGTGAAGTGTCAACCACCGTGGAAGGCAGAAAAAGATTTACAGATATATGACTCGTTGATTCGGGAGCGACATATCACATGACCTTAAGAAGAGAATGGTTCTATCATTATGAACCTATCTCAGGAGGATCTGTGTATAGTTGCAATGATCATGCCTTAGAGATCGTTGGCGAGAGAACCATCAAATTGAATATGTATGATGAACAATTAAAGTTGTTCGAGATGTGCGACACGTGAAAGGCCTGAAGAAAAATTTATTATCCTACGGATTGTTGGATAATAATGCAAGCAAGATTGAAAAACAGAAAGGAATCATGAAGGTGTTCCGTGGAGCTCTTGTGTGTTGAAAGGTGAAAAGATAGCAACAAACTTGTATATGCTGAAGGGAGAGACTTTGCTAGAAGTAGAAGCCTCTGTTGCCTCATGTAGTTCAGATTCTGCAATGTTATGGCATCAGAAACTTGGACACACGTCAGAACAAGGAATGAAAGTCCTTGTGGAGCAAAACCTACTTCGAGGCTTAACAAAGGTAACACTTCCTTTGTGTGAGCATTGCATAACAAGTAAGCAACACCAATTGAAATTCAACAAATCAAATTCTAGAGGCAAAAATGTTCTAGAATTGGTTCACTTTGACGTATGGCAAGCACCAGTTACATCCCTAGGCGGAGCAAAATACTTTGTCTCATTTATTGATGACTACTCCAGGAGATGTTGGGTGTACCCTATTAAGAAGAAGTCAGATGTGTTTTCAACTTTCAAAAACTTTAAAGCGCGGGTGGAACTTGATTATGGAAATAAGATCAAGTGTTTCAGAACATATAATGGAGGAGAATACACAAGCGAATAATTTGATGACTTTTGCAGGAAAGAAGGCATCAAAAGACAGTTCACAGTGGCAAACACTCCTCAATAAAATGGAGTGGCAGAGTGGATGAACAGAACCTTATTAGAAAGAACAAGAGCAATGTTGAGGGATGCATGCCTAGAAAAATCATTATGGGCAGAAGCAATCAATACCGCCTGTTATTTGGTGAATCGAGCTCCATCAACTACAATAGAGCTGGAGACACCAATGGAGATGTGGACTGGTAAACCAGCTAATTATTCAAACCTCCATGTATTTGGAAGTATTGTGTACGTGATGTACAACTCCCAAAAAATCTCAAAGCTGGATCCAAAATCCAGGAAATGTAAATTCTTGGGGTATGTTGATGGTGTAAAGGGGTATCGCTTGTGGGATCCCACATCATTAGCAGGGATGTTTTCTTTGTAGAAGATAAACTACAAAGAAAAGAAGACGATGATAGCACTGAAAAGTTAGAGACTACTCAGATACATATGGAAAAGGAGTTTGAACAAGGAGATTCTTCTGAAGCAGGACCAGCACATGATGAACAAGAACCAGAGAGTTCTGAAGCTCAACAGCTCGTCCATCAGATCATGTGAGAAGACGTCTCAATTGGTACTCAGATTATGTTATAGAAGGTAATATTGCATACTGTCTTTTAACAGATGACGGTGAGCCATCAACATACCAGGAGGCAATAAACAGCTCAGATGCTTCACTGTGGATGATGGTGATGCAAGAAGAAATCGAAGCCCTTCATAAAAATAATACATGGGACCTTGTGCCACTACCATAAGGAAAGAAGCCAATTGGTAACAAATGGGTCTTCAAAATCAAGCGAAATGGTGACGATCAAGTGGAGATGTATCGTGCAAGACTGGTGGTCAAAGGATATGCTTAAAAAGAAGGTATTGATTTCAATGAAATTTTTTCTCCTGTGGTTCGACTAATAACAATTCGAGTAGTCTTGTCAATGTGTGCTACATTGAATTTACATCTAGAGCAGCTAGATGTTAAAACAACTTTTCTTCATAGAAATATTGAAGAAGAGATTTATATGCTCTAGCCTGAAGGTTTTGAAGAAAAAGAAAAGAAGAACTTGGTTTTCCAGTTGAACAAATCTCTGTACGGTCTAAAGCAGGTGCCGAGGTGTTGGTATAAGAGATTTGATTCCTTCATTATGTGTCTTGGATACAACAGATTTAATGCAGACCCTTGTGCTTATTTCAAGAGGTCTGGTGATAACGATTTTGTTATATTGCTGTTGTATGTAGATGACATATTGGTTGCAGGACCCAACAAAGATCATATTGAAGAATTAAAGGCACAACTGGCTAGGGAATTTGAAATGAAGGACTTGTGATCAACAAACAAGATTCTAGGGATGCAAATTCACCGAGACAGAAGTAATAGGAAGATTTGGCTTTCACAAAAGAATTACTTAAAGAAGATCTTGTCAAGATTCAACATGCAAGATTGTAAGCCAATTTTTACCCCTCTTCCTATTAACTTCAAATTATCCTCCAGTATGAGTCCTAGCAGTGAAGAAGAGAGGATGGAGATGTCTCGAGTACTGTATGCATCGGCAGTGAGAAGTTTAATGTTCGCTATGATATGCACAAGACCAGACATTGCACAAGCAGTGGGAGTGGTTAGTCGGTACATGACGAATCCAGGAAAAGATCATTGGAATACAGTAAAGAGGATCCTGAGATACATCAAAGGGACCTCAAATGTTGCATTATGTTATAGAGGATCAAATTTACTAATCAATGGGTATGTAGATTCTGACTATGCAGGGGATTTGGATAAAAGCAAATCTACTATAGGATATGTGTTCAAAATTGCTGGTGGAGCTGTAAGCTGGGTTTCAAAATTACAGTCAATTGTGGCTACGTCAACAACAGAAGCAGAATATGTAGCAACTACACAAGCCAGTAAAGAAGCAATTTGGTTGAAAATGCTATGTCTCTCTATTTTGTGACAGTTAAAGTGCCTTGCATCTAGCAAGGAATCCAACATTTCATTCAAGGACAAAGCACATACGAGTTCAGTACTATTTCATTCGTGAAAAGGTGGAAGAAGGGACAGTAAATATGCAGAAGATCCATACCAAAGATAATATAACATATTTTATGACGAAGGCAGTAAATACTGATAAATTTACTTGGTGTCGATCCTCTTGTGGAATGTCAGAAACGTAAGCAACATGAAGGTACAAGGTAGAAAGAATGGTGTGAAGATATGATTGTTCTAATCAAATCTTCAAGTGGGAGATTGTTGAAAAGTCAATGCATTTGGCCAAAGTTTTAACATTGTTTTCGGTGGAAACATTTAGGTGGCTTTGCACATGCATTTTCGGTGGCATTGAAATTATACAGCTTGAAAATATTTTTTTGTAATGGTATAATCATTTTTAGTCATTGTAATTTAGGGTATTTATAAATTAGTCCTTAAGCTTCAACTATAAATACTCTAGCTCATTTAGCTTCAAAACCATCCAAAAACATTCTAGCTTTCTTCCAATACTAGAGAGAATTAAGAGAGTTTCTTGAGAGTTGTTTTCTCCTTTTTTTATCAAGAGAGAATTATCATTGTTTTCTCTTTGGTAGATCGATAGAAGTTGTAATTCCTATTTTCTCATAATGAAATTCTTCTACCGTCGCCCGTGGTTTTTACCCTATATTATTTAGGGGTTTTCCACGTAAATTTTATGTCTCTTTTATCTTCATTTTTATTTTCTCAAATTATCAGTTGTGATTTTGCTATATCCGATAGCTGTCTTCCGCAACAAAACCAGCAGTGACAATGGTGGTTCGGCTGAGAAGAATCAACATCAAATGCTTAATGAGCTTAGCATTGTCGAAATGGTGAAATTTTGAAGAAAGAAATGATGATTTGGCTGAGATGTTGTCTAAGCATAACCCCACGGCTGATGAATTCAGACCCCCTTCCATTTCTAATGATCAGAATCTTGAAGAGAATCGATTTTCTGAAGATGGAAAGGTATATTTCACTTTCTGGGAAAATTCCATTTGATTCAAATAAATATAAAAAATATATATTTTGTTATTTTCATTGATCTTCTCTTGTTCTTTTTCACTCAGAAGAGGAATGGTAAGTATATCCAAAGGAAGAAAATGTTGAATAAGAAAACATGTATTGGTCAGGGAGATGATGCAATTAGGAACATTGTTTATGCTACTGGTTTTGATCATCAGGTGATTATGTTTTCACACTTCTGATTTTCCCCCCTTGATTTTACTTTCATTTTTATCGAAGTAATTATGTTTGAATATAAAATTTGAGATATGATCTCACCTGAAACTAGCTGCATCGGGAGTTTTGGCGAACCAAAACTCAAGAAGATCAAAGGAGAGCGAAATAAAACTATAAGAAGATGCAATTCCAGCATACTACTTTTGAAGTATAAGAAAACATGAAGATGCGTGTTTCCAGAACTTTTTGAACTCTCAGCACTGCCATAACAATTCTTTTTCTTATCCATCAGTTGTGCAAGCAAATGCGAACCGAGCTCTACTTGATTATTCAAGAGATGCTTGGATGCAGAAGCAGTGGATTGAGTTCCGCACACTTCAGCTATAAGAACAGAAACTGCAAATTCACGTGAGGCTGCTAGAATTGGAGAAACATCGTCTCAAGTGGCATAGATTTAGTAAGGGAAGGGACCGTTTCAAGTAGCTGTGAGCATTTGATCGATTTGAGTAAAAAAACTTCGAGATATTCGAGTTGACGAAACATATTTTACAACTCGAATTTAACTTTGAAACTTTTTGAGTTGAATCAAGTTTAATAAATTCAAGTCGAGTAGGGTTTAATAAATTCGAGTCAAGTTATTTGAGTTTCTATACTAATTTTATATAATTCTTTATAGTATTATGGAAAGGATTTGCTCCAATTTTTTGACTTTCTCTAACTATATATATATTATATTCTTTTCACATTATAATGTTAATTTAATATAACAAATACAATCTAAAATTATGAAATATATTTATAATATTATATATTAAAGAAAGTACTTTGAGGGCAAAATGGTGACGAGAGTATAAATGAGTCAAGGAATTGATGTGAAGAAAAAATTTGCAAACAATTATAGTCAAAAGACTAAATTGAGTAAAATGCAAAGTTAAAGGACTAAATACAAAAAGAGAGAATACATTTTTAGTAAAAAAAAAAGAGTAAGAATTGAAGTTACATAAGTATTCTATTGTGGTATATAAGCATGAGGTTCAAATTTGGAAAAATGACTTAAAATAAATGATGAATTGTAGAAATAAGGAAAATATGAAAAATTGAGGGACTAAATTGAAAAATAAAAAATTATGATCAAAAAGAGGAATTAAAAGTACATATATATTCTACTATGATTTAGGAGCATATGATTCAAATTTGGTAAAAAAATGTCTTAAAATGAAGGAGGAGTTGAAGGAATAATGAAATTAGTGATTAAGTTATATAACTGTCAAAATATTTAGTCAAATTTTTTATTTTTAGAGTAACTCAAAATTTCAACTCGATTCAAACTTGAAAACCGAATTTATAATTCGAGTTGACTCGAATAACTTGAATTTGAAAAAAAAATCGATTTTCTAATCGAATTGAATTTTGCTCACCTCTAACTTCAAGTGACATAGTAATAAAAGGGGCAAATCAAAGTGTTATCCCTAAACCACATCGAGTTTACAAAAAGATCCATAATTTATATTTTATATAAAGTAAAGGGATTAAAATAAAATTAAAACCTTTTACTAACCTGCCATGTTATTAACTTAACGCAATTTAACATCTCAGTGACTAAAACTTAATAAAACGAGAATGTAAATGATCACATATTATGTTTTTTAAAATTAATAAGAAAGAAGTGAAAAAACCATAAACAAAAGTTATTAATTATATAGTTTTATTTATAATTTAATTCGATATTCCTATTTTTTTTAAATCAATAAGAAAGAACCATAACAAAATGATTTATAAAACGTATAAAATACATTATAATAAATTAAAAG